ATAACTAAACAGCAGGAATTACCTTGGTGTGGGGTAGATTTAAGAAGGTCCTCTGCAGAAAAAGGCGGTTGTAACTGTCACGAACTTCCCATTTCAATATCCTCGGTATATCATGGTCACCAACAGAGGTGCATATTACACCTTCGGCGGTGTCGCAAACCTCGTAGAACCACGTCTGGAGAGCCAAGATAAGGCCATAACACCTGTATAGATATCCAGAACCCTCGGGCTTCTCATAAATGTGCATTTGCTCTCTTGTATGAATTGACTTCTTCATATAGTAAAGAGTGAAATCAAAAACTTTTTTTCCCCAAGCATGGTCATCACACTCTGGACTGTCAATCAAGTCAATGTAGCAGCGGTCAATGCATAGGGCTTCTTGTGAGCCCATCAAGAAATTTGCCAGTAGGTGCAACTTCGCAAATTTGACCGCATCCTCATCATTGGACCATGCTTTCTTAAGAAATTGCCACCTGATGTGGTTACGTCTCAGTTCTACACCATCAAAAAACTTGTCGTGTAGCCCACCGGATATCTTTGGAATGTTCAGCTTTTTGCTTTTTCCAACACATTTCAATCCGGTTATAACAACAAATTCCTCTATACCGAAACGAAGTAACTTGCCTCCAAAATCGAACCAAACCTCATCGCTCCTATTCTGATGAACCTCGCGTAAGAGTATAAGGTTGATGAGTTGGTTCTGTACTATGCAATGAGGGAGATCAAGGAACTTCCCAAATGGTGATCTTCTGAATGCTTCCAATTGATCAGTAGTAAGAGTCCTCTTGATATCGTTGATCGTGGATCGATCTTTGCTGTTATCGTTGCTGTTTTGGACCTTGACATTTATGTCCCTGGGGTGCGGGGATGAGCAATTGCCATTCCTGAAAAAAATAAAGAATAAAATGCAATTAAATTACCAAAAAAAAAAAGCCTTCAAAACATATATGCCCTGTTCACTATACCCTGCAATAAATATGTGCCATAATCTGCCCTGTTCAATTTACTTTAAGGTAAAAATGAAAATACTTTAAATATATACTTTTACAATTTATAATGTCATGTTCAAATCTACTTGAAATATACTTAAACATATGTCCTGCAATAAAAAGTGTAAGGAATAAAATCAGTATTAAAACCTAACATATAAATGAAAATAAACTTGCATATGCTTCAGATGAAAAATAGTTATGAAGAACACAATTATTATTCGAATAAGAATTTTATGTTAAAGTTTTTTTCAATAAACCTGAAATATACTTGAAATATACTAAAAAATTGTTATGTAAAACATAATTATCATTCAACTAAGCATTTTAGGTCCAAGTTCTGAGCAATATATTTTAAATATACTAAAAAAAACTCAGTATGTAAAATTGGTATACTAAAAAAATATAATTAGGTCCAAGTTCTGAGCAATATACTTGAAATATACTAAAAAAAAAACTCAGTATATAAAATTGTTATAGTAAAAAAAACTCAGCATTTTAGGTCCCAAGTTCAGAGCATTTTAGGTCGAAGATCAGAGCAATAAGATTGTTATATACG